ATATTAAAAAAAAAAAAAATTCGATTGTTGATTGATATACGCACATCGTATTTCCATATATATTATCTTTATATTATTAATTATTATTTTTATTAATTAATGTTTAATTTTGATTTTAAAAAAAAAGATGGATAAAGTCAAATTCTGAAAAAAAAAAAAAAAAAAAAAGGAAAAAGACAAACAAAAACAAATTCGTAAAATTATAATATATATATTATATATTATATATTTCTTCCAAAACAAAAAAAAAATATATATTATTATATAGCTCATAATTAGCTTGAGAATTGTAAATAGAAAATAATTTAGAGTAAATGATTATTTAGTATTATGAAATAAGTGAAAAAAAAAAAAAATATAATAGTAATAATAATAATAATAATAATAAAAAACAGTGAGTCTGTCCTGGGGTATCGCTCGATAAAATGGTTGGTTAATTATTTAGTTTAATAATAATAATAATTTTCATATTTAATGTAATGTGATCAAAAAAATTTTTTTTTTTTTTTTTTTTTAAAAAGAAAGGAAAGAAAAAAAATGAAAAAAAAAATATATTAAATTAGTATAAAAATAATAATAATGATTGTATATTTATTGTATAAAGCACAATTGAATGAGAATGATATTAAAAAAAAAAAAATTTAGGAAACAATTAAACTTATTATTATTATTATTATTATTATTATTATTATTATTATTATTATTATTATTATTATTATTATTATTTTATTTTTAAAAGTGCGTATTTTCGTAAAAAAAAAAAAAAAAATTTATCGATAATAATAATAATTTAGAAAAAAAAAAAAAAAGGAAATGGAATATTTGTGCATTACTCTTTATATGATTATGAAATGTGCAATATAAGGAAATTTGTAATGCAAATTTTCAGGTCTCCTCCTACTCCTCCCCCCTCCCCCTCGTCCCCTCACTATCGTATTATATAATATAGAATTTATTTTTCTGTACTTTTGTTGTTAAGCCGAGTTTAAGGAGGAAGTATAAAAAATTTTTTTAAGTTTTTTTTTTTTCTTATTTTTTTTTTTTTTTTTTTTAGCATTTTATTATTATTATCATTTAAAAATACGTCGTTTAATTTTTTTTAGTTTAAAAAAAAAGAACATTTCAGTAATAATATAAAAAATAAATAATTTTAATTAATTAATTAATTAATTAGAAGGATCACATATGAAATGATTTTTTTTTTTATGTTTATAATTATCATTATTATATTTTCATATGCGGCTTTCAATAAATTTAAAATATAATTTATCATACAAAAAAAAATTAAATTTATTTTAATCCGTGATTATGGTTTTAAATTTTTTATAAAAAATAATAATAATAATAATATTGTAAGAATTTTTTATAGGTGAATAAAATTGTGTAAAAAAAAAATGATGACGTCATTAAAATGAAATTATGGATTAATGATAATTATATATATATACATATTATAAAGTAAAAGGAAAATAACATAATGATAAGCAGAAGAAAAATATATATGAAATGATTAAAGTTTAGGTAATGTATAATTTACAAAATTTTACTTTTTAATAATTAATTAATAAAAAATTATTTATACAGTAATAATTTTTTCAGCAACTGCTAAATTAAATAAAAAGTTTTCTAATGCTGGAGGTAAATTTTTTTGTTTTAGTGATTCAATGGAAAATGTTTTCTTATTTTCCAAATTTGATTCTGAAGTAAACATGCTGGAAAAAAAGAAAAAAAAGTTTCCTTTTCAATTATTTTATATGGAAAAACATTTTTTTTTTTTTCCCTGGGAAATCAATTATTTATTTAAAATGGATTAAAAGAATATTACAAGGAGATTATTAAAACTGATTATTAAATAATTTATGGTACCTGAATTGTGACCTTAATTCTTCAGTTTTTTTAGCTATTTTTTCAATTATTTCATTTTCTTCCATGTTTGAATTTTCAGATAATTGTACCATGAACAATGCTATGTCTTTATGAACTTTTGTCATTACAAAATAATCTTTCGAATGAGGCGATACTGTTACTTCTCTCGCAGGTATGTTAACAAATATATCATAAACTTCTTTTAGAGCTTCAATACTCTTATCTGGGCATCCTGCTATGAATCCTTCATAACACTTTAGATATTTTATTATGATGAAAACAATTTAAAAAAAGTAACTTGAATGTTAGAGATAACCTGCATATACATACTTTCAATTCGTTCAATTCATCATTTTGTAAATCGAGCCATGGAAATGTGGTTTCGTTGAAATTTCTATGAATCATGAGTTGTGGAACAGCTTGAATGTATTTTAATAAACTCTCAAGACTGTGATGATAAATTATCATTCTTTTATTTAACAGCAGTGAATTATATATTAATATTATTTCCAAGCCGAAAAGTTTAATGAGCTCTGAAAAATTTTAAGAATTTAATTTACATGATGAAATTAATGATTATTTGTGTAGGCTTTGTCATTACCTTTAACTGCACCTTGACAATCGATTTTCATGGAATCGTAATTTGAAATCACAAACATTCCATTTTTCTCAGTCGGACAAACACCTTTTGTCATAACTGATAAATACAATTGCAACAATTCTGCAGGATTTCCCGATTTGCAATATTTGCTGCATAATATTTTACATAAGGTTTCATACTTTTTCGGATTGTAATCTTTTGTCCATAATGTCAAAGCATATTGTTTTACCTTGGCCAAATGTTTTTCATTAAAATACAGGCAGTTAAAAAAAAGATCATATTTAAATGAAAATAACGTACTTGTGGTAAATTATCAGTCGTAAAAATTTGTGTTTTGATTATGTAACACCATTCATTGTGATACCTTGTGAATGCAAACGAAGGTTCTTGAAAATAATTACTACTGTATTTTCTTAAAATGAATTTCTTTTGCTCAGGAGTGACAGAAGGAAAAGCCCATACCAAAAGGGTTTCGTTATTAATATCTTTTTCTAAAAACGATAAATTAATGTGAATTTTATTTATTTATTTATGTCAAATAACAAAATTTCGAATAATTTTTTAATAAGTTGTAAATAATTACCAATTACACAGCATCTATAAAAATCCGATGTTGACATTTTTAATATTGTAAGGTTTACATTTTGGTATTAATCTAGTGCCACGACATTTTTTTCTTTTAGTTTACTGTAAAAGTTATTGTATTAAAAATTACATTTTAATTAAGTGATTTTGGAGTGAAAAATCAAATTTCAAGTTTGTATTTTTTAAATTTTACAAACATTTGCGTTTTTATTGACAAAATTATAAAAAAATTTATCTTGATCCAAAAAAAATATCGAAAACTTTCAACGTTTTTATTTTTCAAAACTCATATGAAACCAATTTAGATTTAAAGATTATTGGCGACAAATTAATAATATAAATATTATAAATAATAAAATATATATTGTAATTACAGAAAATATTTATTTTTAAATAAAAATAAACTTCAATGCATTTTTAACCTAAAATATTTATATTTTTAAAAAAGTTTTATTTAATGAAATTTTTTTTTTTTTTTTTTTTTCAGATCGTTGGAAGCATTGACGCGCCATAACGCCATTTACTTCCACGTTTTAACCGCCATTTTTTTATTTACATCATAATCGTTTACACAGTTTTTTTTTTTTTTAATTAGTTTGAAGTATTCATTTTATTTTTTAAGTGAAAATAATGATTGTGTTGATTGTGAGTGAGTTTTAATTTGTGTTTTTTTAAAGTGCATTGAATTACTTTAGTAGATTTTTTACATTATGATTGTTTTTTATTCATCTACAAAACCTGCTTCATGTAAGTGAAAAAAATTCCATATATATATATATATTATTGTAATCATTTATTAAATTAATTCAAATGATATGTGTAGAGGTATTTTGAAACAAATTCAAAATTTGAATCTAAGCAACTAAAAAATTGAGTTAACAATAATTAATATTAGTTATAATCGAAATCAAAATCTACATGATTAAAGTGTCATATATGACCACTGGTCTCTTTTTAAAATTGTTATTTTTTAAGACAGAAACAGTTAAAGTATTCTATAAAGTTTTATCACATTCACTAAATAAAAACAAATTAAAAAAATTACATGCATGAGGTTGTTATTTGTAGTTTAATGACATATGAATATCAATACTCAAGATAATACATGTGTAAAAAGTTACTGGATAAAAAGAAAGACAATTTTTTATAGTATTATTTATCAATAGCGGTTATCAATTAAAAAGCAGACATTTAAATACTTTAATTTAAGTTAATAATAAAAAAAAAATTATTTATTTTAATGATGACAATGACAAAGACATTATTCTATACAAAATGTTAGGTTTGGTATATATTTTTCACCATTCCAATGTGATTTTTGATTTTTGACACGTTTTAAAAGATTCTATGACATTCAATAATAAATTGAATTTTTTAAACAAAAGAAAAGAAAAAAGAAAAAGAAGGAAGGGAAAATTTTTTTTTTTTCTTGTTAACAATTTAAAGTATAAAAAATATTTCAGTGTATTTTACAACTTTTTATTAGGAAATCTAATAAAAATGAAAAAGAACTGATTTTTTTTTTTTTTTTTTGTTATCTTGAAAAGGCAAATAACTTGTAAAAAGATGAAGAAAAGAGAAAATCTATCCTCGATTATTAGATTATCTGTTGGCATAGTTTGAGTTTTAACTCCCATTTTATCCATGTTTCTCCTCCCTTTTAGCAACGGTATGGCTCGTCACGTACTACGAGGATGGTTTGAAAAGATAACCTTTTAAGTCTTTTCGGCTGCAAATATCTTGAGCACTTTTATACTATTTATTTATAATAGTTTTAAACGGATTTTTTTTTTTATGTTTGAACTTTAAACAATTAATTCAACACCCCTTATAAAAAAAATTTTTTTTCTTTTTAAACTATAAATTTCCATTATTATTATTATTTTTCTTTTTAAAAAAGTTTTAAATTTAACGTATATGAAAATACCTCCCCTTTTGAATGTCTCCTTTTTTTTTTTTAATAGAAGAAAAAGAAAATAATTTATTTATTAATTATTTAAATGTTAATAATAATGATTATTTATTAAATATTAATTATTTAAATTCTCTTTTAACGTGAGCAAATAGTTTTTAATTAGTTATTATTATTATTTTTTTCGTTAATTAATAAATTCACGGGATTAAAAAATAGCGCAAATGGAATGTTTTTTGTATATAAGAAAAGGTATCATCTTGTCACGCAGCATCATTTCCACCGGAAGTAATTCCGTTAACTACATTGCCAAGACTTTAAAAAAATTTTCATAATTTTTTTTAGTTTCCTCTTCATCCATCCATTCATCCATCCATCCTTTCATCCTTCCTTCCTTCCTTCCTTATTCAATTGAATTTTTATTTAATATTCATATTTAAAAATTGTGAAGGGGGGAGAGGAGGAGGAGGTGGAGGAGGCGGGAAAACGAAAAAAAATTTTTTATTTTATTAATAATGATAATAATAATCACGCGCGATCCCCCCACCCCACACATCCCACGCACACGTGTTTAAATTTTTAAATAAGGTTGAAAAGGATAAGGAGAAATTTAAAAAAAAAGAAAAAGGAGAAAAAAAATGATGATGATGATGATAATAATAATAATAATAATTTATTAATTTAATTATTTTACTTTCAAATCACCCTGTTTATTTATTTATTTAATTATTTGAATAAATAGAATTATATGCAATGCGATAAACAATTAAATTTACCAAATATTTTTTTTTTGAGAGAGAGAGACAGAGAAAGAAAGAAAGAGAGAGAGAGAGAGATATATATATAGACCGCATGAGGTCATACAATTTTTTTTTTTTTACAACTAAATTAAAATTAAAATTTATATTTAATTACTTATTAAAGTAATAAAACAAATTATTAATGATAATATTATTATTATTATTATTATTAAACACTTTTATTTATATTCGATAACAATTCAAAAAAAAAATTAATAAATAATAAGTCGGTAATAATAATAATAATAATAATAATTTTTATTTTTTAAACTATTGAAAAAATTCAATAAGATCCATAATGTACTCTTCTTATTTATTCATAATAATGATAATGATATAAATTAATAAAATTAATAATAATAATATTTTTTTTTGAATTTTTAATAAGAGAAAAAAAAATAAAAATTATTATTATTATTATTAATATTTAACAATGGCCGTAATTTTTTTTTTTTTTATTTATTTTTTAATTAATTAATTTTTATTTTCGATAACTTTTCAGTCTTTTATTCAATTTTTTTGTTTATGTACACTAATTTATATAATTAAATACATACTTGAATTGTATGTACATATATGTATCACGTGATTAATAATCGGTTTTATTTTTTTTAAATAATTCAAATCGATTGATTGACAGTTGACGAAAATTTTTTTTAATAAATTCTATTAACTTATTTATTTGTGTGTGTGTGTGTGTAGATAACGAATAATTTTATTTATTTTATTTATTTATTAATTCGAATAATAATAATTTAATCGATTATCAGTAGTAATTAATTATTATTATTATTAATAATTTAATGCGAACGATAACTGTCGATTGTTAATAAGAAATAAATAAATAAAATTTAAAAACAAAAAGCACACAAAATAACTTATGTATATATATATGAAAAAAAAAAAATATTCACACGAATATTATTAAAACACTTTCACCCGTCAAATTTTCTAATTCCACGTCATTATTATATTTTCTTCATTAATTTTTCTTTTCCATTCGTTTTTCGGCATTTAAAGAATTAAATGTCAGAAAATTGACAAATGAATCGCGTTTTTCTTTTTGTTGCACTTTTTATTATTTCCGGTTTAAAATTTTTTTTTTTTTTTTGTAAACTTGGCACTTTTTTTTTTTTTTTACAACAACGAAAGAGAAAAAAAAAAAGAATAATTTTTTTATCTTGTAATTTTACAAATGATAATTTTATTTATTAATAATAATAATAATAAAATAAAATAAAAAAATTGATTGACTGGAATAAATCTAATACCGCAAGCTGCTGCTGCTGGAAAAAATAAAAAAATTTAAATTATTATTATTATTATTATTATTTTATTTATAAAACAAAATAGTTTACATTAAAAATAAGAAAACAATATGAGAATTAAATAAATAAATAAATAAAAGAAAAGCAAAAAAAAAAGGTTAAAAATTTTCTTTTTTTTTTTCTTTTTTTTTTCCCTGAATTTACTTTTTACGTGACCAGAAATAAAAACGAAAAATGTTTTAATCAAGTTTAGGAAACAAAAAAAAAAAAAGCAAAAAAAAAAAAAAAAGAAAGGGGCGTAAGTGAAAGTATCAAAAGCAATATAAATAACTTTCTTTTTCTTTTTTCATCAAAGTTTATACCTTATTTTCTAAATATAAAACAAAAAAAAAAAGTAGAAAAAATTTTTTTTTATATTTCTCTCATTTTCTTTTCTAAATTTATATTTATTTCCCCCCCACCCACCCTTCTCCGTTTACATAAATGCCATAGTGTCAAAGATTTTCCTTTGTTGTTAAAAATAATAATAATAATAAGGCTACTACTACTACTTACAAGCATTTGTGTCCCCCTGAGGCCATTCTTCATTTAAACCTTTTCCCGATCCGTCTGTCGACTTTTGTTCAGATTTACCGATTTCGTTTAGCTTAGGAGATAAATATTTTGAGCCTAAAACAAACAAACAAACAAAAAAAAAATTAATAAATAAATAAATAATATTAAATATATTAAAGAAAAATCAATCGTATCGATTTCTTTATTATTATTATTATTATTTGAAAAAACTTTACCGATAATAATTAATTAATTTATTTATAATCATTCATGAATTTATTTCATTTAATGTGAATTATTCACTGAATGATTTAACGTTACGTCATAATATATTAAACAAAAAAATGGCGTCAAAATTAACAAAATTGCAAAAAAAATAAAAGAAAATTTTTTTTGGTGTCAGAGGTCAAATGTCAAAATTTCTTCTTTAACTATTTAAGACTTAATTATAATAATTATTTATAAAAATTTAACAAACTTATTGTACAAAACTTAAAACATTAATCACGTGATGATCGTTATAAGCTTCAAATAATAATAATAATAATAAACGTTTTGTTTACGTCGTCGTCTGTTTTTTTTATTAAATTTAATTTTAAACGTGATGAACCTTACTTATTTTTTTTTTTTAATTCCAAATCGAAGATGGCGACATATCGAAAATCTTTTTTTTTTTTAATGAGATTAAATATTTTTTATTGTACGAAAACCTTTTAAGTAAAAGTTTTTGCTTAACTTTTGAAAACAATTTAGGAAAATAAAAGGGAGAGAAAAAAAAAGAAAAAGTTTACAACATTTTTTTTGTTTTATTTATTTCCTTGTTCTTGTTTTTTTTTTTTTTTTTTTATATAAAAAAGAATAATAATAATAATAACGAGACTCGAATAAATTATTTATTATTAAGAGTAATTCTACGTGAATAATTTTTAATTTTGTGTGGTTGGTAAAAAAAAAAAAAAAAAAAAGTGACGAAAATAATAATAATAATAATGTGATTAAAAAAAAAAAAAAATAATAATAAACGTACCTTTTTCTGATGACGGAATAAAACTTCCATATAAGGAATTGTTAGCATCTCCTTTTTCATCCATCGTTGTGTCTGTAAAAGAATTTTTTATAATAACAAAACATAACCAAGTTATTTAAATAAATAAATAAATAAATAATATAAATAAATAATAAATAATTATAAAAACACGTGCGTGTGCGTATATATTGTATTTATAAAAATTAATAAGTTAAAAATAATAATAATAATAGTACCGAAAAGTAATTTTTTTTTGTTGGGGGGCCGTGGGATGGGGTGGAGTGGAGAGGGGAGGGGAGGTACAATTAAATGGCGGCCGAAAACTTGAAATTTTTAAGAAAGAAAAAAGTTTTTCCTTTTTTTTTTGCCTTTTCATTTTATATATATATATTTTTTTTTAACTTTACCTCCCTCCCTCTCTCTTTCTCTCCCTCTCTCTCTCGCTTTCTTTCTTTCTCTTTTTTTCCCCTCTCCAATCATTTCTTTTTTTTCCTACGCTTTACCTTTCTTAGTAAAAAAAAGAAGAATTTTTTTAATCAAAAAACTTTAATTCCAGTTGTATTGAAAACCCGGAGAAACCATTTTCCGATTTTGAATAGATAGAGTTTTTTTTTTTTTTCCTTTTTTTACTTTTCGTTAAAAATCTAACATTATAAAATCAATTTCGTTTTTCTTTTGTCCATTGACTTGCAAATCTTAAAGTCAATACCAATGAAAAAAAAAAGAGAAAGGAAAAGAAGAAAAAGGGGAAAATTTTTGAAAAAGTTAAAGAAAAACAGGAACAAAAAAATAAAAAAAAAAAATCTAAATATTTTAAGCTTGCTTGCTTGCTTTTTTTATGGAAAAACGAAAAAACAAATATTTGAATTTTTGTGATAAGCTAAACATTTTTTTTTCCGTAAAATTTTCTTTTTCGTTTTTCCAAAAAAAAAAAAAATAATAATAATTAAAAAAAATTGAAAATGTTTTCTATGAAATTTTTTTTTAATGAATATTATTTAAATTTTTTTTTCATAACATTTTTTTTTTAACTTGTAAAAACGGTAACAAACACAAACAAAAACAAAAAGAAAGAGAGAGAAACTTACCCAAATGTTTTTCCAATGATGATTCTGTGGTTTGTGGCCCTGGTGTTGTTGATGGCGGTGCAGAAGCTTAGAATAATTAAAAAAAAAAAAAAAAAAACAGACAAGAAGAAAAAAAACAAAAAACAAAAACGTGAGGAAAAGTAATAATAATAATAATAATACAAATAATTTAAGATAGTGAATATTAATTAATATTCGTGTGATTATTTTTAATAGCCACCAAAACAAAAAAAAAAAAAAAGCAGAAGTCATATAAATAATAATAATTAATTAATTATTCGAATCGTCGTTCGTGTACATACATAAATACATAAATTTTATTATTTGTTCGTGATTTTAAAAATTCGTTTCATTTATTATTATTATTATTATTATTATTATTATTGGTTTAACGTTAAAAAAAACTTTTTTTTTTTTTCTCTAAATTTATTATTATTATTATTAAATTAAACGTTATCGAGTGGTTGGTCGTGGTTATGAAATATTTGTTCGAAGAGTTCAAAAAAAAAAAAAAAGGCGAACTAATTAAAAGGAGTTTTGTGGGGGGAAAGCGGGAGAGATGGGAGAGGAGGGAAGGGGTTATGAAAAAAAAGACGGAGGAAGGGTGTAATAAAAGAACAATTAAAATAAAAAATGAATCAAATAAATGGAAGAGGAGGATGAGGAGGTGATTGGTTGGTTGGTTGGTTGGTTGGTGGTTGATTGAAAAAAAAGGAAAACTCGAAACAATTTTTTTTTTTTTTTCTTCTTCTTCTTCTTTGTTCTAAATTGTAAAAAAGGGAAGGAAAAAAAGGAAAAAAAAGGAAAAAAAAAGAATTTTAGCCGAAAGGAAATGGCACAAATTGAAAAGAGAGAGAGAGAGAGAGAGAAAAAAAAAAGTTTGATCGATTCAATAATAAAAGGTTTGCACTTCCTTTGCTTCTTTTTTTTTATAAAAAAATTTTTTTCCCTTTCCTCCCCTTTCCTTCCCTTTCCTCCCCTTTCCTCCCCTTTCCTCCCCTCTCTTCCCACTCCTCTACTAATTTTTTTTTTCTTAAAGCTAAATTATTATTATTATTATTATTACTACCCTCACCCTCGTATTTTTTCTAACAAATTTTTATTAATTAAATATTAAATTTAACCTTTTGTAAAAAAAAAAAAAAAAAAAAATTTCTTTTGTATATTTTTTCATCTTTTTTACTTTTACTTTTGACCATCAATCAATCAATCAATCAGTCAATCAATCAATCAAAAATTAATTTTTTATCGCCATGTTTATCACGTTTTATTTACGTCACAAAAAATTAAAATTTTTTTTTGTTATTGTTGTTAATATTTGTTAAAATGTCAATAAGTAAATAAATATCAATAAAAAAAAATTTTCCTTTTTCTTTTTCTTCTGCTTTTATCTTTCTCTCTCTCTCTCTTTCACTTTCTCTTTTTTTTTTCTTTAATTTCGACTTACGAAAGACAAAAATTAGTTTTTTTTTTTTTTTTTTTTTATATGGCTGACATATTTTGTATTTTGTAAATTACATTTCCAATAATGGTGTTAACATTTCTTTTTATTTTCCTCCTAAAGAACGAGAAAACTTTTTTTTTTTTTTTTATTCTTCAAATAGAAAAGAAAAAAAAGGGAAAGGAAAGAAAAATAGGAAAAAAAAGAAGGAGGAAAACAAACGAAAAAAAAAAAAAGGGAGGGATGATATTTTAGGGGATGATTTCGGTCAAAGTTAGACTGACGAGGGTCGGAAGATTAGAAAGTTGTGGTGTGTTTTCCATTATTCATTAGTGGACAGACATGGAAAGAAAAGATGACAACATCTGTAGACATTTGTTGGCAAAAAGAATTTTTGTTACTTTCAAGTTATCTTATTCCTCTTTACTTAACATTTTTTTCGTTTGTTTGTTTGTTTGTTTGTTTGGTTAATCATTACACTTTGCGTGTGATAAAAACGAAATGTTAATAATAATAATGTTTTGGGATAATTTTCGTGGTCAAAATGTTGAAATTTTCATTTCATTTACTTTTCTATTATTGGTCATTCATTTGAAAATTCTTCATCTTCTGCTTTTTCTTCTGCTTTGTGAAAAATATACTCGATGATTGTATTACTTTGGTTCCTTTTAATAATTTTCTCGTTTGGTTAATTTAATCATCAGTTAAAAAAGATTTTTTCTCTCTCCCAATTATTAAAATTTTACGGTTGGGTTAATTATTTATCATTTCCGTAGGTTTTTCTGAGGAGGGCGGGGGAGGGAGGAGGATATAAGTAAAAATTTTTTATCATTATCAAAAATGAAAAAGGAAAGAAAAAAAACGAATTCAATTAAATAAACATAATGATGATAAAACGATTGTAAGAAAGAAAAAAAAAAAAAAACGAGTGGGTTACTTCTGCTAACGAGGTGCCAAACAAACAGTTCATTATTATTATTTTGTAAATTTCATGGCAAGTTTAAAACTCTCAAAGAAAAATTATAAAAAAAAAGGGGGGGAGGGGGAGAAGGGGGGGGACAAAAAAGCCAATAAAAAGATTTTTTTTTTTGAGGAAAAACACTTTTGAGAGAAAAAATAAATAAAAAATAAAAAAAACAGAAAAAAAAAGAAAGAAAATTTGTTTTTTTTTTTATTGCAAAATGGCGGTTAAAAATTACATGAATAGCTTGTTAAATTTAAACTTTTTTTTGTTACTGTACAAAAATTAGCAATTTTCGTCGAGTTTTTTCATTTTCCCAACCTCCCCATTTTATTCCATCAGTTCCCTCGAAAAAAAAAAAAAAAAGTTTTTCAAATGAACTCCAATTAAATTTCATTGTGACTAAAAACTCCACCACAACCCAAAACCTAAACTTATCTGAATTCGTTTTTTTTTTTCGGGGGGGTAGTTTTTCCTCCATTTTTTTCTCCCCTTTTTCTTCCCTTCACTTTTTTTCCCTTTTCCCCCTACTTCAACCTTCTTTTGTAAATTAAAATTGACTTTTCAAATAAATTTAGAGACTCATTACCTTATTGTTAACGTTTTTCTTCTTCTTTTTAATTATTAAGAGAGTAAACTTTTTTTAACGTTTTTTAAAAAAAAATTTAAAGTGATGACGACAACGATGACGATTCGAAAAATTAATTATTTTCTTATATTAATAATAATAATGATAGTTATAATGTAAAACTTACTGTATAAACGTATAGTTCCATCCGTTTCTCCTCTCGGATTTTTTGCCACGCATTTATACGTTCCATAATCTTTATCCTGAACGTTAGAAATGGTTAATTTCATGTGAGTTTTATACGATGGAACACCGACAGTGTTTTCAGCTCTGTATTTTTTACTTTCGTGTATCATGTGTCCATCTTCTCTTGTCCAATAATTTAAAGATGATGGATGAGCTTCTGTATAACATTCGAGTGAAACGCTATAACCTTGCGGTGCTCCAACCAATTGATGTGGTATCCATAACATGGGTGGAACTATCGAATTAATTAAAAAACAAATTTATTTATTTTATTTGACTTGATGAATTTTCTATAAATAAAATTAAAATTCGTAAAACGTAACCGTAACGTTAATAAACTTTTTTTTTTTTTTTTAAAAAAAACCAAAACAATTGATTAAATTGTTAATTAAAATCAAAAACATGGGTTGGAGGATAAAAATAACGGGCAATTTAATAATTCTCGCTTTTCTTTCACAAAAAAAAATTTTCCTCCCCTTTTTATTTTTATTTCAATCGAAAATAATATTTTCTTTCGTTAAATAAAAAAAAAATTTTAATATTAACCCTCGCGCAAAAAGATAGAAAGAAAGAAATGATAAAAATTATTTTCCACCTTATTAAACGTTTTTCTTCAAATATGGCGTCATTTTGAATGGGAAAAATCGTTTTTTTCTTTCAAAAAAAAAAAAATTTATTTTTTATTTTAGTTATTATAAATAGTTAGTTAGGGGAGGAAACTAAAAATTAATTGTTACTCACAATCGACGCTAACTTTAATCCTTTTGCTAACGGTTGGTGGTACACCATTTGATGCAATACATAAATAAGCCCCCATATCTAGTCGACTAATACGACTAAGTTCTAGTATTCCACCTTCCCATTCGTTTACTAAAAATTTAAAAAAAATCGTTTTTTTTTATTTTCTTTAAAGTTTAAAGAAAAGCAAAAAAAAGAAAATTTTATTAACCTGAAAGTGATTTATTTATATTTATTTTCGATCCATCATCTCTTTTCCATTTAACGTTTGGAATTGGAGAACCGGATGCGTGACATGTTAAAGTAACATTTGCACCTTCTCTTACGATGACGTCAGAACTACTTAAAGAATCGTCAATGTTTGGTGGCACTGTGGGAAAAATTAAATTCGTTCGTAAATGATGGGGATGGTAATAAAATAAAAATGGTCGTCAGAAAAAAAAAAAAAGAAAATGATTATCAGGTGAAATAACTCAAAAAAAAAAAAAATTTTTTATAAGGGATAAAAAAAAAAAATTATGTAAGAGAAATAAGGGTTGAAAACGTCTTGCGTGATACATAAAAAAAAAACTTGGGGAAGGAAAACAATGCGAAATCATAGCCTTCCATCGTTCCCTCAAGATTTTATTCCCTCTCTTCCACATCTTTTTACCATCTTCCCTTTTTACCACCATCTCTCTCTCCCTCTTCCTTCTCACCATCATCAACAACAACCTGTTGATTCTTTCACGGACTTACTTTCTCTCTCTCTCTCTCCTCCTTTTTCCATTTTCAAATATTATATTATTCAATTTTATTTTATTTTATTTTTTTCTTTTTTTTCTTTTTTACTTTCTCGATTTCTCGAAACCCCCCCCAAAAAAAAAAAAAAGTAAAAATTAATATTTGTCTTTATTTATTTATTTTTCTGCGTCTTTAAATTAATAAATAAGTACATAAAATATTATTTTAAAAAAAATTAATTATTATTTAAGATTAACACGTCAATTATTTATGTTCACATCGCTTTTACGTAATAATAATAATAATAATAATAATAATAACAACCCTTCATATTCGTCTGTAAACAAATCATTTGCTCTTTTATGTTTAGCATATGGAATTTTTTTAAAGATCAAACAAAATGGCTCCCGATTGATTGAACTATTAGAAATCACTCACGAATCAATCAAAATAATAATAATAATAATAATAATAATAATAATAATAATAATAATAATAATTATCGCGTTAAGTAAAATGATAAGAAAATAAATAATAATAATTATTATTATTGTTATTAAAAAATTTACAGTTTCGAATTTCAATTGTTTAGTTTTTGTTTTCCCGTTTGTTTGTTTGTTTGTTTGTTTAATTATACTTGAAACTTTTCTTCTTTTTTTTTTCTTTTACTGTTGATAATAATAATAATAATAATCATTGGTGAATTTAATTGCCCGAGCAATTCAAATACCGGAGGTCAACCACAAGGGATGTAAAATAGAATGAGAGAAAAAAAAAAAGAAGGAAAATACATTGAAATGTGAGAAGAGGGAGGTGGTGAAGGAGGAGGAGGAGGAGGTAAAGGACGAGGGGGGGGTATAAAGAAGTAGGGAAAGTTTTATGACCGTAAAAGCGATAATAAAAGTTTGCCCAACAACAAAATTAATCTTTTTTGCAAAATGAGGGAAAAAAGGATAAAGTTTAGAAAGAGAGAGAGGGAGAGAGAAGGGAAAAGAGAGAGAGGGGAGTGGTGGAGGGGAGTAGAAAGAAGGTAAAAGTAGAAAAAGTTTTTTGATTTAATAGGAGCCGTTGTATTGTCACGTGTTGACGAAGGAAAAAAAAATAAAAAGAAAAAGAGAGAGTGGGAGACAGAGAGAGAGAGAGAGAAAGGGAGAGAAAGAGAGGGAATACGAAAAAAAAAAAAATTTAAAGGGAATGAGTTAAAGGCGCCATCAGCTTCTAAAATTGTTTTCATTAAAAAAAAAAAAAAAAGTTTTTTTTAAGGCCTTCGCCTAATCCAGACAAAATATTTGCCCATTCAAAACACGTTTTCTTAGTATTTTGCCTGAGTCAAAAAAAAAAAAAAAAAAAAAAAATTGTAAATTCAATTCTCGTTTTTACCAGTTTCGGCCGTTTTTTTTTTTTCCAAAGAGTTTGAATCTTCATAATCATCATCATCATCATCATCATCATTTTCTAACGTTGAAAGGGAAGGAAAAAAAAAAAAAACTTTTTATTTATCTTTTTTAACCCGGAAAAAAAAAATAAATAAAAAATAAGTTTAAATTTTTTTCCCTCTAAAACTTTCATGTTTTAAAAATTTTTTATCGACGAAAATTTGTGACTTGAATCATTTTAATTGTTTATATTTATTTTAGTTTACCAACAAAAACAAAAAATTACACGCATGACGTAAAAAATTTTCATTAATTTTATAATAATAATAATAATAATAATAATAATAATAATAATAATAATAATAATAAATGACGTCGAAATTTTTTCTCATAAATTTTCCGTTCGCAAAAAAAAAAAAAAAATTTTTTTTATAACTCTGATAAAAATATTAAAAATTGACGAAAATAAAAACACAAGTTAAAAAATTACTCAATTATTATTATTATTATTATTATTATTATCGTTACGACAAATTTACGTTAAATTAAACAGACGGAAAACAAACGAAACAAACGAAACAAACGACGTTTCATCTTCTCAATTATTTTTCTACTCATATTTAATTAAATGTTTTTTTTTTTATTACGTATTAACAAAAAAAAAAAAAAATGACGACGAAAAACATATTTTTTGAAAAAAGTCAGACAAACAAAATAATAATAATAATAATAATACAAGTTATTAATTTGAAAACAAACAAACAACAACAGAAACAAAACAACAACAACGAAATGTGTGATGCGTAAAAGTTTAAATGTAACGGATGAAAAACTATTAATTATAACCACAAAAAAAGGATAAAAAAAATTAAAAAATTTTTTTTCTTTTTCGTAAATGTGATAACGTGATACTGATAAGAAAAATTGATAATTCGAGAGGGGAGAGGGGAGGGGAAGGGGGGGAGTTAAAAGAGAATAGATAGTAAATAAATAAGGTAAAAATATTAAAATAAGGTTTTAAAAAAAAAAATCAAAATTATTATCAAGTGAATTAGTAATAATAATAATAATGATACGGAAATAAAATTATCGTTCGTTTCCGGTCCCTCCCACTCTTCCTCCTCCCCCCCCCGTTATATTTTCCCCCCCATTTTTCCAAACTTATATAAAACTTATTAAAACTGTCAAATTTTTATTGAAATTCTAAGAAAAAAAAAAATTTTTTTTTTATTAAATAATTTGTTTTAAGTTTACGATGTTTATTTGTTTGTTTGTTTGTTTGTTTTTAAATGTTTTATTTATTCATTGGTAATGTTTAAGAAATTTGAGTTTACAACAGGAAAAACAACAGGGAAAAAGTAAAAGTAAAAGAAAAAAAAACACGAAAACTACATTCGAAATAAAAGGTC